GTGCCAGGAGACAGCTGGGTGCGTGACCCTCAGCCTGGCCATAGGGGACATAGACCTGTCTCAAAGGCCAGCACACTCGTTAAGGTGCCAGAGCGCCCTTGGCTGTGATGAACCCCATCTCAGTGTTCAGTAATTCCCAGTCATAAACTTTGGGCCAGACAAGAATGTGGAAACCCAACAGAAAAGAATCAAGATCTGACCAGTTTTTACTTTAGCAGGCAAGTAGGGTCTTCCTGAATAGTCAGCCCATCAGCCTGTCTTTAAGGAGTCTTCATTCTCGGGAACTGCCATAAGTGGGAATGATGAATCTAAAAGCAAATTCTATCAACCTTGGCAGCCACCAGAGTGGGCAGCCCTGTGGTAGCAGATTCCTTCCAGAAGGGGGTCAGAGTCTTCTCGATGCTCTTTAACCCTGACTTGATCACCAGGCAAAAACCATGCCAGACACTGGGTTGGGGTAAGAGGGAGGGTGTGTCTAGCTCCCAATACAGGGAACAGGTTGCCCTGGGTCTTTTGCAGTACCTGGTCAGACTAGACTAAGTGTTAGATATTTCTGCAACTAATTTGGACTTCAGTCTTGAGCTTGATGCCCTGCAGCAAAATGTACAAGCCATTTGCCTCTGTAACATGCAGAATGAAAAACCTCAACTGAGAATTGCAGATCTAAGCATGCTATGGCAGCCAGTGCTGCTCCAGACTTGGCCATAGAGAAACATTTGCTCTATCCCCTTAAACTACTGTTATGAAATAACTACTGCAGTTTATGGTCCTTTGTCTGCAGGGACACGAAGGATGATCTCAGGAAAGAGTGGATTGACTTCCCAAGGACTCACTCTGTCTCCAGAAATTTTAGATGAAGATTTCAAAGGAGAAATTAAAATTATGTCCTGCATAAAAAGAGAGATGCAATTTAACACAGATGACAGGCTTGCTCAGCTGCTCCTGTTTCACTACATCAAGGCAAAGCTGCTCCACCAGAAAGAACAGCGTGTTTGGAAGTACTGGAAAACGTGTGTTCTGGCAAACAGTCGTTAATGATCAGAGCCAAAATTAAAATTGTAAGTAAGTGGCATTGAGATCGAGGGTTTGTTGGATATAGGAGCTGATGTAACTATCATTTTACAAAAATCTTGTAATTCAGAATGGCCACTTCACACACTCTACTGAGTTTCTAGGGATTGGAAAGTTATCTCAGGTAAAACAAAGTCTGTGAGGCGTGCAATGTGTGACACTGGAAGGTACAATAGGGAAGTTAAGGCCTCATATGGCTGACATACCCATAACTTTAGGGACACGGAATTTCACGACGGTGTGGTAAAACCAGCGAGCCTCAGAGATAGAGTCAATAGCACTCTGCTGACGGCAAATCTTCTTACTGTTAATGACAAGGGAGCAACAGCCGCTGAGACAGCGGGTTATAGGGAAACTGTAGCATTAGATCAATCCATATGCTATAGGGATGTGTTAACATCCAAGTGGAGACCAGCAAAGTTTTATGTTGGAAATGCTGATTTGATTATATAGCCACAGGAAGTGAATGTGGATGCCATTCAGACTAGTTCAGATTAGAACTGAGTAGGAGAGGTCTCTTGAAAATCTTGGCCGCTGACCCAAAAAGTGCTTATTTCAATGAAAATGTCTGTTTATAATTTCCCACTACACACAACATAGTCAATGGCTTAAAACAGAAGGGGGGAAAGTGTAGTGGCAATTTTGGAATATTAGTTTCTTAAAAAAAAAAAAAAAACAGAAGTATTGTAAGAACATAGTCTTGTTTTGATCCCAGGTGTGGGATATGGGGTTGCTTCAGACTACAGCAGGTGACTATAATGTACCTTGTGTTCTAGCAGGGGCATGGTTTTGCCAGCTGCAGATACTTTCTGTGATTGTGTGACATTTGAAATTCTGGAAACTTTTCAAAGGGTATATAGGGCCCCAAGAGACAGAGCTAGTGGTTATTTGTTATTTAGGGGGGTTCATTGTGATGTGTTAGTAGTCATACTTAAAGACGAATCAAAAGTAACGAATTAGATTCAGGGACCTGTATCTCTCTCCCTCTCCCTCTACTCTTTCTCATTTATATAGGTATAGGGAAAGAAAAAAGGAGGAATACAAGGTGGGAAAAACAAGAGCCCACAAAGCAGCAAAGACCAGCTACAGTTAGAGAAGTTGATTTTTTTTCATGATTATTGATCATTTATATTTCATTTTTCAAAACTATCTTTTCACTTCATTATCCCATTTCCTGAATAGGTTCATTGATTTCTTGTTCAGTTTTTTGAGTTCTCTTTGTATTTTAGATATTAATCCTCTGTCAGATGTATAGTTAGTGAGGATATTCCTTTTACTATGCAGACTGTTTCTTTTTTCCCCAATAACTGTTTTCTTTACTATCCAGAATGTCCGTTTTTTAAAACCCCATTTCATACACTGAGAGATGGAGAAGAGTTTCACTCTACCACAGGTTTCGCTGCCTGTGAAAATGGCTCTCCTGTACAAATATACATTTCTAGCATTCTGGTAAAAAAAATGTGACAGTTGGCTGTAACATGGGTTTATTTCTGGATCTTGTATTCTGGGCTGTTGATCTATGTGTATGGTTTGGTACCAGTACATGGCTTTTGTGACCATATCAAAGTAGTAAAACCTGATATCAGATATGGTATTACTCCCAGCACTATTATTTTTGATCAGGAATTCTTTAGGTATCTTGACCATATTGTGCTTCTATATAAATTTAAAGATTTCTTTTTCTATTGAAGTGCATAATATTTAATTGAAATTGAGTAAATTTGCAGGTCTCTTTTGGCAGTATAGACATTTTCGCTATATTTATTTTTTTAGTGCATGAGCATGGGCAATCTTCCCATCGTCCAGTGTTTTCAAACCCGTGCTTTACTGGTTTCAATTGCAAAGGTCTTTCCTTTCCTTAGTTTTAGATACTCAGAGTTGTTTTGTTTTCTTTGAGATAGGTAGATCTCAGTGTGTACCCTGGGCTAGCCTGAAACTCACAATATAAACCAAGATGGCTTAGAACTCATGATCTCTGCTTCCCAAAAAATGTGCTCTGCCACGTCCAGGTATATTTTTGATGTAATTATAAATTGGATTATTTATCAGCATATTGGTCATTGGTATTTAGAAAGGCTACTGATTCTCGTGTATTAATTTTGCATCTTGACACTTCGCTGAAAGTATTCATTTCTAAAGATTTTTGGTAGACTCCTTAGTGTCTCATGTATAAAATCATATCCATCTACAAATAAGGATACTTCTATTTATCTATTTTTAATTTTATCTCTTTTGTTTCCTTCTGTTGTACAAATTGTAAAATCCACAAACTACAATGCTTAACCACAGAGCAATTTCAAGAGAACTTGCCTATTCTAAGACAGTATGTTTTTACTTAATGTTAAATGAAAACAGTTGATCCACTTATGCCTGTCAGTGTTTTTGTCAACTAGATATAAACTGAAGTCATCTGAGAAGAGGGACTGTCAGTTGAGGGATTTTCTCCATCAGAGTGGCCTGTGGCAAGTCTGGATGGCGTTTCCTTGATTAATGATTGGTGGGAATGGGCCCACCGTGAGTTGAGCAACCCCTGGACAGGTGTTCCAAGAACGTCTAAGAAAGCAGAGTGAAAAACCATGAAGAGCAAGCTAGTGAGCAGCCCCCTCCATGCCTCTGCTCCAGCTTTTTCCATGGCTTTCCTAGATGGTGGGCTGTAACCCGTAAGCCAGCAAACCCCTTTCGCCTCAAGTTGCTTTCTGTCGTGGTCTTTAGCACAGCAATAGGAATAAAATTAGAACAGCATTATTCCACTAAATAATTTAGAGAGGTTGTTTTGACAACCGGATAAAACTAGAATACATATTTTAGCAAGTCATGGAGCCACTGAAGAATTTGAAGTGTATTAATTAGATAAAATGTAGTTTCTTCGAAAACGTCACACAACTCAATTTAGGCAGTTGCTCTACCACTAAGCTGATGATGTTTCGAAAAACAGGCAAGTGGCTGGACAAATGACACAGTGGTTGAGAGCACTGGCTGCTCTTCCAGAGGACTTGAGTTTCATTCCCAGCACGCACATGATAGCTCACAATTATCTATAACTCCTTTCCCAGGCTATCCAGTGGCCACTTCTGGATTCTATAAGCACTGTGTATATATGGTTACAATTATAAATTCAGGAAAAGCATCTATGAACATTTCTAAAAGATAAACACTTCCACGAAGGGTATGAATAAATATTATTGAAGACTGGGGGAAGATGGTGGTAGATAACATAGGTGCCATTTCCACCCCAACAATGCTCGAACACTTTTGTTAGAAATACAAGCAAAATTTCGACTGGATTCTTAAAACAACCATCTGGAAATTGACAATGGAGAAAGCTTCTATGACAGAAACATCCTCAATTACAAGACTAGGTATCTCACACTGGGAGACAAGGTTGTTGTAGGTCTCCAATATCACATCTCTGTACAAGTTCTTTTGTGCAGGGTCTAGATGCTTCCACTCCTCCTGAGAGAGGTCAATGGCTACATCTCTGAATGCCAAGAATACCTGAAACAACAACTCTGTTTTTCAAATAAAATTTTAATATATTTTTAGAATTAAAATTCCTTTGCAAGGAGTAGGTAACATAACAAGAAAAAATCTGGGGTCCAGCCTAAAACATGTATGGAAAAACAAGAACATCACTATTCCTAAAGGAGAAGGCATCTATGACTTTATGACACCTATTGTCATAAGGTGTGTGCAAGAGTGTGTGTGTGTGTGTGTGTGTGTGTGTGTGTATGCATATGCAAATACATGGTGCCCCTGTGGAAATCAGAGGACGCCTTTCAAAACTAAGGATTTTTCCTTTCACCAAGAGGATATCAAAGATTGACAAGTCTCAGGCCTTGGCAGCAAGTACCTGTGTACCTGCTGGCCACCTGTGAGGATTTTAAAAATACAAACTTAGATATGCCATGAGATAATACAATAATCCAATGCCCTGGGAGTGAAGAAGCAATCTCACTTTCTCAGACCAATAAAACACCACAACTACATATGTGATACTGCTCATATCACACACCTACAAATCATGTTTTTGAGTATGTGTCAATTCCATCATAATTTCATCCCAAACAGAACTTAATTTCTATAGAAACTTTTTTTCCTACAAAAATATTCTAAAATCTCTGTTATAGAGTTTGTGACTTCTGGGAAATAGCAATAGACTTCACCCAATTATAATTAAAATATTTATTTGCTTAGCTGCTAGCAGGACAACAACCTTAAGTCCTAATGTCAGTCATGTTATGAAGGAGGAGTATGGGGAAGGGCATTTAAAGGGCAAAACAAGAAGACCTTCAATATCTATGCAAGCAAGCAAAACTGGTCTGTTCTGCCAAATTAAGTTGTTAAGGTGACTTAAACTTTGGTGTCTGTGGAAGCAAGTTAAAAAACAAACAAAAACCCCACATTGAGTCATAATTAGACTAACAAGTAGACAGTTACAGCACTACGTTTTCAGGTTGGGGTCACTGAGTCAGTGTTCCTGATTTATCTTCCAGGGACTGGAGTCAGAGATAAATGATAAATGGTACGAATATGGATGTCTAGCATAAAAAGGAGTTTCTTTAGTCATCACATCTCAACCTCAGAAAACAGGATTATATTGACATTGTATAAATAATAAACATTCAAGTTATTTTATGCAAGATATCATCATAAGCAATACGTGTGGTAGATATACTTACTGACCAACTAATCATACTATCTAGCTCTATTTATTGAATCTACAGGATGATCTGTTGAAACCTAATCCCTTTGTTGGGTCTCTGATATATGGATCTGGACACAGTGACATATGTCCGTTGTCCTAGCTACTCGAGAATGCCAGGCAGAAGAGTTGAGCCTGGGAGTCTGAAGCCAACCTTGACAACAATAGGACTCCATGTTTTCAAGAAAGAAAAAAAAAAGACAGGGAAAGAAAAGAAAAGAGAGACAAGGAAAGAAAAAAGGTAGAACTAGAAGTCTCTCAATGCATGGGAGGATCTTACCTCTGCCTGAGGCTGGTGTGGAAAACACAGTTTGAGTCATCTGGGCGAGAAACATTCAGCACTAAATTCTACCCCATCAACCTGCAGTGTCTGATAGAACATCTCTGTTTCACCATATCATTTCTATAATAATGGAGGATCAAATATTTCCCTCAGGGAGGTTCTCTTTCTATTAAATGCTCCTGAGAGACAGCAGGTCCCGTGAATATGTGATGGACAGTTGAGCCCAGGTGGGAGAATAGAGGAGCAAAAGAAAACATGTGTCTGCTCATCATCATTTTTCATCATGGTGAGTGTAAATGAGCAGGGCTAGCCGCAGGGTTGTCTTAGGGAAAAGATCACAGAAAGCATGAGCATGATGACTAGAGTTATAGCTCAGTGGTTGTCCGCCATCCCTGTCTCCAGTCTTATGTGTTGAGGGCTTAGTGCCTCATTGGTATATCCAAGCTACTTGGCTCATGAAAGCTCTGATCGAATTTAATGAACTAAACTATTGAGAGATATATAATGTAATAGGATTATTGGAAGGTGGGGCAGTTTGGATAATATGTCCTGTCTCTCCTTCTTCCCGTTTTCTTCTCTCTGGTTGTCATGATGTGTGGAGAGCTGCTTGCTTGGCAAGCTGCTTTCTTATTGAGTATTCAGCGAAAAACATGCTTTCACCCTGGCCTTTACCTTGAAACAAAGATAAGCAGGATGTTTCACCAAGTTCCTTTAACTTTTTTGTGTGACCTTGAACCATATCTGCTATGGGGAAGTGGTTTCAGAAAACAAGTTTGGCTGTTCCATGTACCTCTTCCTTGTATTGATCTGACTTGTTTTGCTTTGCCTATAAAAGGGAGGTGTTGTATAAACTCGGGGCTGCAGTATTTATTGACAGTCCTCTAGAGCTGATCCCTTGTGTCTTCCTTTATTTCTTTTAATCCTCACTCCCCACTCAGGTACTGTTCAACTTTGCCAGAGTGTTCCAGCAACGAGGTAAGTATTTGAGGATGGTATTTCTATCTCCCTCCTCTCAATGGAACTAGCTGACCTCTTGAAACATGAGCCAAAACAAACCTTTCCTTCCTTTAAACTGTTTCTCTTAGGCACTGGTCATATCAATAAAAAGGCCTTCGCTAATGCAGAGAAGAAGGATGGACCAGCATGTGTGAGGCTCTTGGCCTAACACCCAGCACTGTAAAATATGTACATATTAAATTTTAAGTGGTCACATGAATTTTATTCTTGTTCATTTATTTCAAAACAAGGAGGGTCTTAATATGTAGTTCTGTCCACCCTGGAACTCACTATAGACCAGGCTGGCCTTGAACTCACAGAGAGTCACCTGTCACTTCCTGCCAAGTACTGAGATTGAAGGTGTGCATCCCTATGCCCAATAAGATCACATTAACTTAGAGTTCTAGAGAAGAGAAAGAGGGATCTACATGGGCCATGGGTTTAGAAGAGCTTGTCAGTCCTCCATGGCTTCCTCTGCTGGAGGGGAAAAGTCCAGAGAAGCCGGGGCTGTGAAAGGACCAAGCAACTTTAAGAGCACCTGTATCTCAAAACTTCCCAAATGAATAAAGTTATGATACAATCATCAAGTTCATGATGCTCACCTTTTCCAACCCCTACCACTGCAGATAAAAAATAAAGACAAGAAAGGGTCTGAGACCTTTTAAATGGGAATTGCCTGCACAGGGTGCACATGGAATAGGGACCTCCTTTATGAAGTCACAACAGCAAAACAGTCTTCTATTCACCCTGATTTCTAATGATGCTCATCTCCAAATGACCAAACTGCTGTCCCTGATGAGAGTTGTTTGTCTTCATGTCTACTTTTGAGCTACCTAAGGGCTACCCCATGACTTGAATATATGCCTAGATTCTCATTATGGTGGCGGAAAAGAGCAGGTGGTGTGTCCCACTGCAATTCTGCAGCTTCCCATATGGGAGTCTCAGTCTAGTCAGAACTACAGTCCCCAGAATCCTTTGTTCTGAGGCAAATCTCACTTTTCAGAGATGTCAGTTTGTGGATTAACCTCACCAAAGCTGATTCCAAATTATTGATTTGGGGTGTCACTTCCATAATCTTGGGATTCTGGCAAAGGCTGGGAAAATGGGTGCTTCTGGGTCTAAAATGGATCCCCAGGCTTATCACACTGTCTGTCCAGGATTTGGGGGAAGCCTGCTTTCACTGCTCCCCTTCTACCACTTCTGAGGCTGTGTCTGCACACTGGCTCCAGGTCCCCCCTACTCCATCCCTGATTCTACCCAGCACCATTGCAAGGTCACGATGGATGGGACAGCGACAGGCAGCAGTGGTTCACTTCTAAATTTCCAGATGTGGCCTGCTTAAAACACATGGCTGATCACCATGTTGGTTTGGGGATACAGAGGGTGGAACCATAGCTTTGTCATGACCTTTTAAGCTTTTGCTGTTCAGCCTGTAATGATGCAGTGTGATGGGATCAAGAGGCTCGCCAGTCTATGAACTGTGTCAATGATTGAAAGTTTTCCTTTGATACTAGTTTAGAAATATATTTACAGTCAAGCAAAAAATAATAATAATAATAAGTTTTTCCTAGTCTCTTGTTTTATGTTTTCAAGGTTAAGCCAATCAAAGTTCGTTTGGCTCAGCTATACTTAATAGGCCATTGTCCTCAAATCTGTCAGAAAAATCCGCAAAATAGCACATTTAAATGCTTAATGAAAAAGTTTAATGTGACAGAGACCCTAACTTCTAGTGGTGACCCCAAGGCCTTCAGGAAGATTTGGACACGACAGATGACTACACCTAGATACTGTGATTCTGGGCAGGACTGCCCCAACTGGTTCACTGCTAAAGCCCTGCCTGAACTGTGGACAAACAGAATGGGTATCCGGACAGTTAACTGCCCCATTTTGCTTAGACAAAATAAGGTCCATCATTCTCCCAAATTCCTCCTTTACAAAAAAGGTCTCTCAGATGTGCTGGGCCCAGCACCCAAAGACTGATGTTGCAGTGCTGTCCTAGGTCTTGTGCTCCCAAGAGCCACTGACACCACAGGAACCTGGGAAGGCCGCCTGGATAACAGGTAAGCCACTGTCATATTAATTAATACATGGGCTGTATATGTCTCCCTTATTTATAGAAAGTAAGATTTTTCAGGACAAATTATGCTTGGGAATCTAACTGCTGTTTTAAATTAAAAAAAAAAAAAAGGAAAATTCTTATACCTCTGAACACTGATCAACTTGTCTGTTTGGTTTCTTCAAGTTTTTCTCTCCCCTGTTAAGGCTGACGTGCCTATGGCTGTCAAGCCTGCTCTCCTGACAATATCAAGGAGTGAGATGAGGAGAATTAGCACACTCTTTCCCTTTGTGGTCCAGAGTCCCATTACTATGTATGTTCCCTTGTTTCCCATTATATAGTCATATGTGGGGCAGAGTGTGTACTATGATGCATAAAAGGTGTTTCTCAGTTTGGAAAGCATCCCAAGAGGCACATTTAGTCAAAACATTAGTACAGGTCCACCAAGTAGTCTCAGGTAACAATGCTGTTGTCCAGATGAGTTAACCCACAAGGCAGAACAGCAGGCAGCAGAATGAGGGGAAGTTCCCAGGTTAAAGGTTTTGGATATTAGACAAGATCCAGTTCCTTGTGAGTCCTCTAATGTTAACGGGCTATCCACAATGAGTTTTGTGTGTCAAGAGGCTGGCTGTCTGGTTAGTTCCTGTCTCTATGAAGTCTGAAGGTCAAGGGTCTAAGCATAACCGGTAATCTTGACTGATTTCTGGCTGGGAATAATGAACTAAGTAGTGGACCTTTCCAAGGAATAGGGAGGAAGACACCTCAGCTTCCTGGACAGTGGGAGGCAGGACTGTGGCTCCAGGTGTGTTAGGTGAAGTAGTTTCCTTAGAGAAGAGAGTTGTTTGGGGCTTTGCTATGGGCAAGAGAACACTGTTGGGATCGAAAGGTCTGAGGACCAAGAAGAGGTGGAAGTTTATTCTAGATAGTAAATCTATCCCAAGTGCCCCTTGAGGAGCGTGGAATCTTACACAAGTTTTCCATAGCCAGACTTTTTTATTTTGATGCCCTTGGCAGTGGAGCGTAGCACCTTTGAAGGAAAGCCTCAGAAGGGCCAAATTTTTCTCATTGCTTTAATGTTCTTTCCCCCAGCATTGAGAAGCCCTCATGGAATTGCACGGTAGCAAGGGTGTAGGGTCTGTCTGTATGGTAGAAGACTTTCCTTTTCCCCATCTTAGAGTCAAGTCAGCTTGATCAGCCCTGTTATCTGAGCTGAGGTACCTGGCCTAAGACTTGGGCCTTATCATTTCAGTTAAAGTGACTATTGAAGGCCACACACACCTGGTTTCATCTTTAATGAAGCTGCTCCCACCCACACAGAGCACTGGGTCAAGATCTTTAAGGGAAATGTCATCTTAAGACAGTCACAGATGGGCAACTTGCAGTTCTCATCAGGCAAGACAGTAGCAAGATTGATGGCCATGAGTTTCTCAAATTGGACACAAGGGTGGTCCAATATTAGGGGCTGGTACTGGATCACACAGACATTAGACAACCAGCATTCTGGTGCTCCAGAGAAGGGCTTTGATGTTGTTGGGTTCTATGAGTTTAAAACCCAGGGTTAACTTGTTTTGTTTTGTTTTGTTTTCATTAGACTATTAGTTCTAATGAACTTCACTTCTTAGACAAGAGGTTCTTAGACCACAACACTTCTTAGACAAGAGGTTCATCCTATGGATAAGGGTCCAATTGTTTTGACAAGTATGTCATACAGCTTTTCCATGGCCCCAAAATTTGGGTTAAAACCACTTCCGTAGTTTGTTCGATGAACAAACAGATGAAAAGGTTTTGAGATGTCTGAAAGTGATAGGGTCAGAGCCAAGTCAGTAGTTTTAAAGCCTCAAATGCCTTTTGTTCAGTCTCAGTCAAGTAAATTGGGAGCTCAGTGCCCAATTTGATCTGGTGTATAAAAGTGTTTCCATTTCCACAAACTCTGGTATACTGAATCAGAAATACATAGATGAGCCTGGGAACCTTCACACCTGTCTCTTGGTCTTTGGTGTTGAGATCTGAATGGTGGCGGCAATCCTACCCTAGAACAGACTCCTTTGGCCTCTGCTTATCAAGTAGTCTCTGATGTACAGCGTTGGGCTTTCTGGGCTGACATTGTGTAGCCCAAACTCTAGTACTCTTGCAGGAGCCCCTCACTAGCTCTTTATAATCACTGTTAGTTTTAGAGGCTAGGAGAAGGTCATATATATACTGTGAGAGTATAGTCCTGGGAAACCTCTGACAGAAGGGTGAGAGGTCACCACTTAATGTCTCATCGTGAAGGGTTAAAAAATTTAAATCCTTGGGGTAACCTGGTCCAGGATATTTGCCCTGTGACCTCCATATGCAACTGTCTTTTCAAAAGCAAAAATGGATTGACTCATCTCTGCTAAATGGGAGGCTGAAAAATGTATCACTCAGGTCCAACACAGGGTATAGGCATGAGACTGTATTTGTTTGGGACTATGGAGTGGATAGTCTTGACATTCAGTATTTTCCTCAGATTTTTGGATAAGTCTATGATCAGGGGTCCCAGGTCTTGTGTTGGTATAATGTTCTTTTGAAATGTATACACCTTACCCTTGTTCATTCAAATGCTGATTTCTCTCCCCCACTATCTGGTTTCAATCCAGACATTGCATTGTGATGTTTATTCTGAGCATCACCTGTCTTAAGTTTGTGTAAACATGCTACCATCTGTTCTCTAAATTGTCAATTGAAACAACCAGCCACAACGTTGAGCAGTGGAGAGGATAGGATGGGCATCCTGGTTCAGAGAGGGAAGAGAGGAAGGAAGCAGAAGGAGTAGGAGGGAGAGGAGAGGAGCTGGAGGAGAGAAAGGAGTAGGAGGGTGGAGAGGAGAGGTCTTGGAACGACATGGAGAAATGAGCTGGACCTAAGATATCGCTAAAAGAAGTATAAAGGGTCAATCTAAATGGTACTACACAGGATGGAGTAACTATTGCCCAGCATTGTGTTATAGGTTAACTGAATAAATGCTACTTTCTGTGTGATGGTTTGTTTATACAGCTGTTTAGGATTAACCACAGCTTTACTAAAAGAGATATCAATAGTAAATAATTAATAAAATACAACAGTCTCATCACATGCAGAAGAGGTATTTTTCAAGACTGTCTCTCTAAGCCATGCAATAATGGACTTCAATTTCCCTTTTTATTTCCAGGGTCACTGGGTATTATTTAATCTAGTCAGAGATAGCTGGACAGTTGAGCTTGTTTGACCAGTCCTTCTGCATTCATCTAACCCTTCTGCATTCATCCCCAGGAATCTTTCTTGTCAATCTGAAAGATGTATCTTTCGATTGGGAGTACAGTTTTCAGCTAAGAGTCTTCCAACAGAAAGTAAAACACCAAAATTTTGCTGGGTATCTATCTGTACTATAACTATCTCATCAATAGAGAAGGGATGGTGGCTTTCACTCTATCCAAAAGGTCTTATCTCTCAATCAGTCTTTGAGCTACCTCCAAGATCTGAGAATTATTTATACCTTTAAATCTATGTAAGTTTTATGACTCTTTACTAATATATGATTGGGAAGGCTGGGTGAAAAGGTCATCCTTTTATTAGCTGTCTTTAATTCTTCTGAAAGGGGATTAGAGAACATTGCCTCCATTGGTCAGTGTTGGACAAAAGGGAAAATCCACTCTATCCTGGCTTCATTATCCATCCGCGTCCCCCCAGGACCCTCAACTCACCTGGCACAGCATGGGAACAGGTTCCCGACTCTTTTCACAGGTCATTTGATTTTATGTATAAAATGGAAGGGGAGTTTTGTACTGAGTACAGCATCATTCACCCCACACATTGTTATGTTATCCATTTGGCAGTTGCTTTGTTTTCATTTATAATTAACAAAGATTAAACTATACGCATCTGTGATTAGAAGTAATGATTTCTCCACATAGATTACTTATCCACAACAAACAAGACCTTTTAGTACAGCTCTGACAGCCCCATCTTATCCAAGTGACCAACTTTACCAATGTGACAGCTGACATGTTTCTGAACATGTTACAAGACATACAATCTGCAATGTGTTCTTACCCAAATGTTTCATCTGAGCCTAATTTCCCTTGGACAGAAGATACAATGGCTAAGGGCTGGGAATGTAGCTCGGTAACTGAGCACATTGCTGTGTACAAACCCTGGGTTAAATCAACACTGAATGTTTAATAAAGGACAGAGCAAGGCCAACTCTCTATCTATATTGGATTCTCCTCAGGATGTATGCATCTGAAAACAGGACAGTTTGGACACTATGACAAATATTTGAATGTCATAAAATTCTGGATCATTTCCTTGAGCACATTTATAGTTTGGGGAAATAGATGACATTACATCCTGATGTAGTAAGAAATGTCATGTGTATTTTTTTTAATAGAGTGTCTATACTGCCAAAGTTGGATGTAAAGTCAGTATATCGCTAGGCTTGCCTTTTAACTCCTTATCCTCCTGCCTCAGCTTTACAACTACTAGAACTCAGGCATATACTACCCCACCCAGCTCTAAAACATATTAATGATACAGCCCCAAATATCTATAGACAGAACAATAGGATCAATGTAAATTGTTAATAATTTTGAATCTAAGTGAGGATCCAGATGTGTGTTGTTGACTATGCCAAGTTTTCCATATGCATGAAATTTTCACATGTGTTTTTATAAGTGGTTTCAAATTGGCTGTTTTTGTTAATGTGTGACAGGGAGCCTACCAGAGAAGACCACTCAACCACAGTATATAGCCAACAGAAAGTCTTTATTCCGGCCAGCTGTGAGTATACTCAGGTATTTGGGACCCAAGTATAGCCCCAAGCATTGAAGCAAAGCCCATGTTGTTATCTTGCTCAGCAGCTGCAGGAGGAGCTATTGTCCAAGCAGGCAGTTTAACAGAAGCCAAGATAAGCAGTTAGCTGAGGGGGAGATTTAAACACACAGGCCAATTAGCAGACACCAGGATAAATTATATCAGAAGCAATATGACAGCCAGTTCCTAGAATAGAGTTGGGTAATTTTCCACAAAATTCTCCACCAAGGAAATAAAATTCTAATCAATCCTGAAATGGCCTCATCAAGAATAAGAGAGAGAGGATCCTATGGACTTGCCCTGTCACAAATTTATAGTTTATCTTCATGTATGGGCAGAGAGCATAAATTATAGTTTGAAATTCTTACCAGTTTCATCTCTTTAGAAAGTATATCTCCACCAAAACAAAAAATTATTAAGGAATGGACTCAGAATTAAAATCCTTTCATGTTTATTTTCTTCCATTAGATGTATCCAGAATGAGGATGTTTAAACTTTAGTAGTGGGTGAATGCATGAGGCTTTTGTAAACTATCTAAAGTATAATTAGCCTTTCACGTCAGTTCCGGTAACGTCAACAAAAGCAGGAACACTGTACATGCTGCTTTAGAGAAAACGGACAGCAACCAAATACTGTCAAGAATCTTATTCGATATTATAATGCTGTTGCCACAACTTTGGCAGCTACCATGCCCACCATTCACAAACTGGGCAGAAAGAAAGTAAAATCCAATCTAATATCACTGGAGCCATGGGTTGTTAATGATAGCAAGGATGACATGTCAGATAAACCTAATTCCAATAACTCCTCTCTCTAAATTAACTGTTCTGGTTGATTATTGATTGATGAATTAAGTTTACACAAATAACAAGATCATAGTATTTCTGACAAAGACATTCTCAACAGCTTATCTGAACAACGCATTGTAGGCATAAGGTTATTGTCTAATTCAAATGTTAACTTCTGTACCCTCCATATCTGGTTACAATCATTATTCTGAGAATCTCCTCTCAAATGTTCTAAACACTGTTTCTTAATTGTCCCATGATATGCCAATAAAGCAGCTTACAGCCAGTTGCTGAGCATGAGAGAGAATACGGCTGGACTTCCTGACAGCCAGGGTAGGAGGAAAGAAGGAAGTAGGGGATTCAGCCATGGCAGCTATCCAGAAAGGACCAGGAGAATGATCCGCAAGGAAAACTACAACATGCAAATATCACTGGGATATACACTGGGAGGAAACTAAATAAGCATAGACGGTTAAGAATGGAGTGATAAATGCTCAGTTATTTTGTTTGAAGTTTATTATTAAACAAATATAAGAATCTCAATTATTTGTGTGGTAGCCAAGTTAAACGAGTAACTGAGAAAAAAAATAGTTTCATAAAAATATAAAAAATACCCGACTTCCCGCATTCTCATTGCAAAGGGTTTCTTGGCATCAACATTAAATGAATAGTCTCATGTTAACCAAATTCTAGGACAGATTAAAGTTCCCACATTCTTCTAAGTCACAGTATTTCCATTATGAGTTCTCTGATGTTCAGTAAAATTTTCATACAAAGGCTTATCCACCTTCCTTATATGCATAGGACTCCTGGCAATTGCGGATTTTCATTTACAACAAAGACTTTACCTGATTCTTTACATTCACAGGGTTTCAGACCTATATGACCATGTTGATAAGCTTTAAGAGCTGAGCTAATTCTATTAATGTTCCCACATCCCTTGCATTCACAGTGTTTGACACCATCATGTATTCTTTTATCTGAAGATGTCCTGAGTTCCAATTGAAGGTTGTTCCACATTCTTACCATGATTGGCTTTCTTATGAATTTTCAACTGTACGGTGAAGGCTGAACTAAATCTAAACATTTTCCCACCTTACTTAAATTCATAGTATTTCTCACCAGTAAGAATTCTCTGATAGGCAGCACATTTCTACATTCCTTACATTGTAAAATTTCTTACTAATATTAAATTTAGCATGTCAAACCAAGTTTCATATTCAACTGAAGGTCTTCCAACATTCTTAACATTGTTAAGGTTTTGCACCAGTGTGAATTCTTTGATGTACTTTAAGGTCTCTACCACAAGGAAAATACTTCCCACATTCTTTACATTCATAAGGATTCTTGCCAATATGAATTCTAAAATGTCCAAGAAATTGGTAATGATATTGAAAAGCTTCCCCACATTCCTTACACTGAAAGGGCTTCTCACCAGTATGGATTCTCTGATGAATTCTAAGAGCTGTTCCACGAACAAAGTTCTTCCCACATTCCTTACACTGAAAGAGTTTCACATCAGTATGAATCCTCTGGTGTTTATTGAGTTGGGACTTAAGTCTGAAGGCTGACCCACACTGCTCACACTTAAATGATTTTTCTCCAGTATGAATGCTCTGGTGCCGAGTGAGATTTGCCAGAACAACAAAGGCCTTTCCACATTCCTTACACTGAAAGGGTTTCTCACCAGAATGAAGTTTGCGATGCTGAAACAGGTTTGAGCGATGAATAAAAGCTTTCCCACAGTCATGACATTCATATGGTCTCACACCAGAATGAATAGTCTTATGTTGAATAAGAATGGATGTACGCTTGAAGGACTTCCCACATACCTTACATTCAAAGGGTTTTTTATTTGTATGAACAATTTTATGCTTATTAAGCTGGCTAGGAAAGTGAAAAGCCTTTCCACATTCTGTACATTCACAAGGCCTCTCACCACTGTGCGATTTCTGATGACGAATGAGAAGTATATTAAGTCTAAAGAACTTCCCACATTCTTTACACTCAAAGGGTTTCTTTCCACTGTGAATACTCTGATGTGCGGTAAAATTTGACCTTCGACGAAAGAATACACCACATTCTTTGCACTGATAGGGTCTCACATCAGTATGAATAGTACTCCGATGTTCATTAAGCTGGTACTTCCGTCTGAAGGCTGACCCACAGAGGTTACACTTGAAAGGTTCCTCTTCAATGTGAGTTTTCTGATGCTCAGAAAGGTATACCTGAAGCCTAAAAGCCTTCCCACATACAGTACATTCAAAGGGTTTCTCACCAGTATGAATACGCTGGTGCTGAACAAGGTATGAGCCAGTACTGAATTTCTTGCCACATTGCTTACATTCAAATGACTTTTCTCCAGTATGGATCTTCTGGTGCCGAGTGAGCTGAGCCAGAACAGTGAAGGCCTTTCCACATTCCTTACACTGAAAGGGTCTCTCACCAGAATGAATTTTCTGATGTTGCACCAGGCTTTGACGATGTTTAAAGGCTTTCCCACACTCTTTACATTCATAAGGTTTCACATCTGCATGAACAGTCCTATGTTCAACAAGGTGGGAGACTCGCTTGAAGGATTTCCCGCATTCCCGGCATTCAAATGGTTTTAAACCTGTATGAACGGTTTTATGGTACTTAAGTAGGACTGGAAGATGAAAAGCCTTTCCACATTCATCACATTTGAAAGGTTTCTCACCACTGTGAGATTTCTGGTGTTCTGTAAGTTGTCGGGGGAGTCTGAAGGCCTTCCCGCATTCCTGACATTCATAGGGCTTCTCTCCAGTATGAATACTCTGGTGCTGACTAAGAGTTGCCCTATAACCAAAGTACTTCCCACACTCTTTACATTCATACGCTTTTTCTACGTTGTGAGGAGTCTGGCAGGTGTGAGTAGGCAGTTTTTCCTTGTTAGTAATCTTTTGATCAGCAGCTCCTTGATAACCCTGTAGTCCCTTGAATATACTATCGTTGGAGCCATTACTAAAAGTGGAGCCCTGGAGGTCAAAAGTTTTACTAAATTGCTTTACACTCTGTTTGTGCAAATTTATATTAGAAATATGATTCTCTGGAGATACATTTTCAGCTTCAAAACATGACTCAACATCTGAAAGAAAAAGAGAAAGCAAGAATACTTCATTTTATGGTAACTAACATACATACACACACTTCCCTGTAACATAAAACCCATTAATGAATGGTCAGACTCTAAAGTATATTCTGAGAAGCTGAACGGGAACAAGGAGAACAGCTGTAAGGGAAGTTTATGTAAGACAATACTCTTTTCAGCAGAACAGGTTGGA